CGGGGGCCGCAGACACAGTTTGACCCTCAAGACTTCCCCTGAAAGACAAACAGGGTGCGAGCCCCGGGAAGGGCATTTCAATTGAAAAACACACTGTGCACCGGACGGGGGGGAACAACGATAATTATTTTTCAGATTTGGGGTTGAACAACAGCAACAACAACAACAGCAACAGCAACAACAACAGCAACATCAAAAATAACAAAATAAAAACAACACAGAACCACCAACAACAGCATCAAAAACCACAACAACAATCATTCCCTACCTAGGCTCTGCCTAGAAGGGTTATTACCATGTTTGCTTAAAGGGCCGGGCAGTGTTCCACGCCCCGGGCGGTTCCCCCAGGATCCGCACCGCGGTTCCCCCAGTGACGCTCCCTTAGCTTAGCGTTGCTTATCTCATCTTAGCTTAGCTTATTCCATCTTATCTTCGCTTAGCTTCATCTTAGCTCAGGTTTATCTTAGCTTAGCGTACCTTCATCTTAGCTTCGCCGAGCTCTCGCATAGCAGAGCACAGCATGGCAGAGCGTAGCACAGTACAGCGCAGCACAGCATATCATAGCAACGCCCAGCATAACATAGCATAGCGCAGCACATCACAGTACAGCGTGGCACCGCGCAGCATAGAATAACATAGCATAGCACAGCAGCAAACCAAAGGCAAAGCAACAGCAGCGACAGCAAAGCAAAGCACAAGCAACGCAAAGCAAAGCAACAGCAAAAGCAAAGCAAAGCAAAGGAAAGGCAAAACAAAAACAATGTGCGACAGATGCCGAACTGGCCTCGATGGCCGGACCGGAGCCCCCGCAAGCAATGCCTTCCGTAACAATTTCGGCTCAAATCCGGAGGCCCTTGCCACACAGCCACCCACGCCAAACTCAAGCAAAAACAACGACAAACACGAAGCAAAAGCAACAGCGAAAGCAAAAGCAAAAGCAAAGGCAAAGCAATGTAAAGTAAAATCAACACCAATGCGAAAGTGTAGATGTAGATGTAGATGTAGATGTAGGTGTATGTGTAGATGTAGATGTAGATGTAGATGTAGGTGTAGGTGTAGATGTGGTGTAGATGTAGATGTGACTCTCGCTGTTGATGTTGACGTAGATGTAGATGCAGGTGTAGATGCTAATGTAGCTGCCGGTGTAGATGTAGATGTTGCTTTTACTGAATGCTCCAACTCCTAGGTAGGGTCGCACTGGGATAATTTTAAAACTGTTCGCCCTTATCTTCTCGAGTGTCCAATAACGCGTATTTCCCACACCCTCAATACTCGCCCTCTTCGTCTTCGATCGAACGCCTTTTGGGGGGTATACCTTTCTTCCCTGCTGGCCGGGCCCCGGCAAGCGGCGGGGCGGCCGCAGATCGTATGCCTGGCCAGCGGCAGCGCTGATCGGCGGGGCGGCCGCGGACCGTCGACCCGACCCCAAGAGGGACGGATAGGGGACCGACCACGACGACGACGACGTCGACGACGACGGCGACGACGGCGACAACGACGACGACGAGCGAGAGCGAGAGCGAGAGAGAACGTCAGCAGGGCCACAAGGACACGAAGTAGGCCACGAAGGGCGACAGCGGGGACACGAAGGGAATCCGTATGGGGCCACGAAGAGCGCGAACGAGCGGGGGCCACGAAGGGCAGATAATGCGGGGCCACAGAAAGCAAAGATGGGGCCACTGAGGGTAGCAACCGGGCCACGAAGGACAGTGAGGGGGCCACAAACCTCGCCAGCGGGGCCACGAAGGGCATGCACATGGGACCACAACGGGCGCGAACGAGCGGGGGCCACGAAGGGCATACGTATACTGAGCCGCGCAGGGCAAGGACGGGGTCACGAGGGGCTGCAACGGGGTCACGAAACAAAGCGAAGGGGCCACGAAGGGCTGCAACGGGGCCACGAAGGGCAGCGAGGGGGCGACGAAGGGCGGCAACGGGGCCACGAAGGGCAGCGAGGGGGCCACGAAGGGCTGCAACGGGGCCACGAAACAAAGCGAGAGGGGCCACGAAGGACTGCAACGGGGCCACGAAAGGCAGCGAGGGGGCCACGAAGGGCTGCAACGGGGCCACGAAGGGCAGCGAGGGGGCCACGAGGGGCTGCAACGGGGTCACGAAACAAAGCGAGGGGGCCACGAAGGGCTGCAACGGGGCCACGAAGGGCAGCGAGATCCCGATTCCTAGGTAATCTGTGAGGGAGTCCTGAGCGTGAGCGCGACTCCTGGGTGCCTGGGTGTCGGGAGCGCGGCGCTTGAGTAAATTACAAGAAATTCCAACGCAAGGGCGCTGTTCTTCAGTAAATTGCAAGCAAGTCTCCAACGAGAGCGCAACTCCAGAGCGCCGGGAGAGCGATGCCTGAATACATTGTAAGGAAGTCCCAAGCGAGAGCGCGGTTCCTGAATCAAATGCAAGGAAGTCTCGGTCGGGAGCGGGGGTCCTGACTAAATTGTGAGGAAGTCTCAGGCGGGAGCCGTTGTTGTAACCGGGGGGCCAAGGGCCCAGTTTTAGCTTCAAGACTTCCCCTGATAATAAACAGCGTGCGAGCGTCGAGGGGCACACTTTGATTGAGAAAAACAGTATGCACCGGTGGGGGGACCAACAATAATCATTCTCCAGAAGTGAGAGTTCAACAACAACAGCAACAGCAACAGAAACAGCAACAGCAACAACAACAACAACAACAACAACAATTACTAGCACGTGGGGACACTCCGTTCTCACCAGTGCCAGGGTTTTCATAGGAGGCGGGCAATACCCCCACTTTGTGGGGGGGCCGGTTCAAGCTCTACCAAATTTCCAAACGACTCTTCGCCACCACCCACACCCAGCTTCCCGCCCTATGACGTTCGGACACTTCACTTCGTGGCATGCGGACGACCGTGGCTACTATTCAGGGCCCCGCGGCCGACGACGACGGCGTGCGCGCGCGAAGAAAAAACGAATGTGTCCCGCATGGTATTATTTGACAGGGATGATGGCCCTGGCAGGTGCGCAACCGTTGTCGCAGAAGTTCGAAAAAGTTGCTCGCAAAAGCCCGTTTGACAGAAATGTTTAAAAAGTGTTGGTTTCCTACGAATCCGCAAGAGCGCGCGGGATGAGATTTTGACATTTTTTGTTGAAAAACCATTGGTTTTTTGATGTTTTTATGTTAAAATCGCTCCGAACACTAAGCTTTTGGAAGGATTTCGTCTTGCGCGCGCGAATGTCCACTTTACCTTATTTTTTGCAAGGGATTCTTGAAATTTGATTATATTAGAACAAGAAATGTCATTTTATAGTGTTTTTTGCAAGGGAAAACGGACTACAACAAAACAACCGGATCTGGATCACATCGTTTTACCTGAGGCTTCCTCACGAAAATGATGAAAATGTAGCTGCGGCCTAGGCGGCGCAGGGGGGGCGTGCACCAGGGGGCCCAACAATAATTATTCTTTAGAAGTAATAATATTCAACAATTACTAGCACGTGGGGACACTCCGTTCTCACCAGTGCCAGGGTTTTCATAGGAGGCGGGCAATACCCCCACTTTGTGGGGGGGCCGGTTCAAGCTCTACCAAATTTCCAAACGACTCTTCGCCACCACCCACACCCAGCTTCCCGCCCTATGACGTTCGGACACTTCACTTCGTGGCATGCGGACGACCGTGGCTACTATTCAGGGCCCCGCGGCCGACGACGACGGCGTGCGCGCGCGAAGAAAAAACGAATGTGTCCCGCATGGTATTATTTGACAGGGATGATGGCCCTGGCAGGTGCGCAACCGTTGTTGCAGAAGTTCGAAAAAGTTGCTCGCAAAAGCCCGTTTGACAGAAATGTTTAAAAAGTGTTGGGTTTCCTACGAATCCGCAAGAGCGCGCGGGATGAAATTTTGACAAGTTTTTTTTTTTTTTTTTTTTTTTTTTTTTTTTTTTTTTTTTTTTTTTTTTTTTTTTTTTTTTTTTTTTTTTTTTTTTAAAAAAAAAAAAAGGTTTTTAAATGTTTTTATGTTAAAATCGCTGCGAAAACTAAGGTTTTGGAAGGGTTTCGTCTTGCGCGCGCGAATGTCCACTTTACCTTATTTTTTGCAAGGGATTCTTGAAGTTTGGTTATGTTAGAACAGGATAATCCACTTTAGCATATTTTTTGCAAGGGGAAGCGGGGGACAACAAAACAACCGGATCTGGTATACATCGTTTTGCCTGAGACTTCCTCACGAAAATTATGAAAATGAGGCTGCGGCCTAGGCGCGGCGGGGGGGTCGCGCACCGGGGGTCCCAACAATAATTATTCTTTAGAAGAAATAATGTTCAACAACAACAGCAGCAACAACAACAACAACAACAACAACAACAGCAACAACAACAACAACAACAACAACAACGCCAACAACAACGACAACAATAACAATAACAGCAACAACAGCAACGACAACAACAACAACAACAATAACATCATCAACATCAACAACAACATCAACAGCAACAACAACAACAACAACAACAGTAACAACATCAACAACATCAGCAGCAACAACAACAGCAACACCACCACCAACAACAACAAAAACAACAACAACGCCAACAGCAACAACAAAAACAACAGCAACAACAACAACAACACCACCAACAACACTGCCAACAACAACCACACTAACAACAACACATAACAACAAGCAAACATAATCAAGGCCACGGAATCCCCCATCGCCCACGCACCCAGGGATGGAGCAGACCCTTCGGCCCACCCTTTCTGCTGAGGAGAACCCTGGAGGCCCACGCGCGGAAACCTGCGACCCCTCCTGCGTCGCACCCACGCCGGAGTCACGCCGGTGTAAGACCGTTCGGCCCTCTCCCTCCTCCTCCTCCTCCTCCTCCTCCTCCTCCTCCTCCTCCCTGACCGGGGAAGGCTTGAGGGCCTTCGCCCCCGCCCGCGGCCGCCGCCGCTCTCCGCGTGGCGACAAGGGGGCGGCGCCGCCGCGCCGCAGTGCCCCGCGGAGCCCCGCGCGGCCGCCGGTGCGGGCGCTC